CTCCTTGACCACGTCCGAATGACTACAGATTCCGTGCTACAGCAGATATCATTCACAGAGATCGTGATCCTTGGCGATTTTTAAAGTCCACCATGCCGAATGGCTCGGTTCATGTTTAACCGATCATGCCGGGAGATCTGTTTATGACTTTGATTTGGTATATAGTCTGACACAACTGGTTACTGCGCCTACGCGGATTACGGATGTGGAAGATCATACACTTTCTCTGTTGGACCTTCTGCTGACCTCTCATCCGGACAGATATTAGGTTTCCGTAGATGCCCCTTTAGGCTCGTCGGACCATTGTCTTGTCCGGAGTGTGGTGCCAGTCATATTAACGTTGCGGTTGCATTCTGCAGGCTGTCGCCGTGTTTGGCACTATAGATCAGCCGATTGAGATGGGTTACGGTCTTTTATTGCATCCTACCCTTGGGGGCGGGCTTGCTCTGCGCCGGATGATCCTAGCGTTGTTGCTGATTCTGTCGCTGATGTGGTACTTCGGGGTATGCAACTTTTATTCCGTCCTCTGTGGTGCCCATCGGAGGCAGATTCCAGCCATGGTTTGGTCGCTCCTATAAAATAGTATCACGCTATAAGCAGGAGTGCTATCGGGCCTGGGCTGACGCATGTAAATACCAGCGCTCTTAAAAAGAAGTATAATTCTCCATATAAGCCCCCAGGTCCTTCAAAAGAGTCATTGCCAAGGTCTGAGCGCATCGGCAGAATTGGCGAAATGCTAGTTCGCCTTCCTTCGGGAACCCGTGTATTCTGGTCTCTCGCCAAGGCTGTCCAAGAGAACTTCTGTCAGTCACCTCTACAATCTCTGCACAGAGAGGACAACTCTCTGGCCCATGCAAAGGAGAAAGCCGATTTGTTAGGCTCTCTCTTTGCGTCCAACTCGACTCTCGATGACAGAGGGAACACACCACTGACCCCCACAGGTATACAGCGCCCGGTTTGCAAGGCACTCTTCTCCCTGCCTGGACGTCAGTAAGTTGAGTGGGCCTGATGCGAGCACGCATATATTTACACATCATACATTTTTACTAGATCCCTCCCAAAATGGGAGGGATCCCATTGTGCTGAAGACGTGTGCTCCGGAGTTGGCACCGGTTTTAACGTGTCTTTTCCGGTACTCCTACTAACAAGGCATAGTTTCGAATTCTCGGATGACAGCTTTGGTTCACCCGATTATTAAAAAAGGCGACCGCTCAGACTCGTCCAACTACAGGTCTATCGCCATCACCTTCTTGTTAATATGGAAGTAATAATGGAGTCTATTGTAAACTGCCAGCTCATGAGGTACCTTGAGGATCACCAGTTGATCAGGGACCGCCAATACGATTTTCGCCTTGGCCGGTCAGCTGGTAATCTTCTGATCTACCTTACTCATAGATGGGCGGAGGCAGTAGAGCCCAAGGGGGACGCATTGGCGTAGTTCGGACCTAGCGAAGACCTTCGATCGGGTCTGGCACAAAGCGCTTCTTTCGAAGCTCCCTTCCTATGGGCTTCCCGAGAAATTGTGCGATTGGATCACTAGCTTTCTTGCTAATCGGAGCATCAAGGTCGTAGTAGACGGTGCATGCTCTGATTGCAAGCCTAATAACGCTGGTCTTCCACAAGGCTGCGTGCTATCAGCAACGCTGTTTCTTTTGCATATTAATAATATGTTGCAAACTGATAACATTCATTGCTATGCAGACGACAGCACTGGTGATGCCTTATACACCGGCCGTGCCAATATTTTTCGGGAAATCGTCGCCGAGTACTGGGACAAACTTGTGTCTGAAGTCGAGTCTTTGCTTAACAAAGTCTCGGGTTGGCGACGACTAAATATAGTCCAATTCATTCCCCAGAAGACACAAGTTTGCGCATTAGCCGCTAAGAAGACCCCCTTTGTCGTGTCTCCTCAGTTTGAAGGCACTCCCCTTGCTGCTTCAGCTAGCATCATAATCCTCGGCGTCGTCATTTCGAATAGTGTGCAGTTTTGTGGTCATTTGGAGAGGAAGGCCAAATTGGCCTCTAAAAAACTTGGCGTGCTCAGCAGAGCGAGACAATATTTAATACCGGCAATATTTAATATCGCTTGCAACTTTACGAAGCGCAAGTTCGGCTTCACATGGAATACTGTTCTCATCTCTGGGCCGGGGATCCCCAGTGCCAGTCCTTCCACTTGAATCCATCCAGCGCAGAGCGATTCGAATTGTCGACGACTGAGTGCTTTCTGATCGGCTCGATTCACTGGCGCTGCGTAGGGATGTTGCATCCCTTTGTATTTTCTATCGTTTCTACCATGGAAAGTGTTCTGAGGAATTGTGCGGTTTAGTTCCAGCACCCAAATTTCACGAACGCACATCGCGTCAAATTTCCCAATATCATCCTCACTATCTTGATCTGGATCCTTGGCGGTCCACTACTGTACGTTTTACTAGGAGTTTTCTTCTTCGTACAACTTCTCTGTGGAATTGTTTACCACCTGAGACTTTTACGGATCGATACGATTTAGGAATCTTCAAGAAAAGAGTTTACTCCTTTCTAAAAGGCCGGCAATGCATCTGCAATTCCCCTGGTGTTGCGGTTGTTCATGGGCTGCGGTAGTCAATTACCATCTGGTGAGCCGCATGGTCGTAGGCCCCTCTACTATAAAGAAAAGAGAGAGCCTACATGCCGTGTAGGGGCTGCGTATGACAATAGCCTATTCCATATCATCTCATGAGTGTCGTAAGAGGCGACAGAGAGTCGTTATGGAGTCACATGTATTCCACAAGTTGTTAAGCCTCCTCACACGGCCAGCAGTGAAGGACCGTTTTAGTTCCATAAGTCATCAAGACTTTGAGGAATCTCAGATAAAAGATTTTTTGTAGATTCCCGAACTTAACCCAGAATTCAATTGCATTACAACTATCCTCTAACATTACATTATAATTCAATATCAGTGCATCAAACTTTCAATAATCGAGTGTCAGATCCAATTTTGTCTATAGAGTGGTTCCAACAAATGGTAAAACTTAAATTGAATTACGCCTTTTCACTTTAAATTTCGATTTAATGCAGCGGCTTGAAACAATTTATTAATGTTTTGATTCCTTTGAGTTTCTGAAATAATATAAAAATAGAGCCGTGGCTCGATGGCGTAAAGATCTATTACCCGAGCAATACCTGAAGTTTGATTCCCACCAGCAGCAATAAAGTTGTTTATCGCAATTTCAAATGGTAATTTACTTTTTTATGCTGCTCGGTGGTGATGGAATACATCGTGAGAAAATTTCAAATTTAGGAATTAATATTATATTTCGTAGATATAAGAATACGCGCTGGAGCAGCATAATAGACTAACTGTTCCAACTTTACATTAAAAATTACATTGCATTCTAGTAGTTCTTACTTACTTAGTTCTAAAGTTCTAAGTTAATTCCAAACTGTTATTTCGCGACAGATATAAGTCAGAGGGCGAACGCAGACGGACTGTTAGGCAGAAAAGTAAGTTTCAGCATTTGTTAACTTTCGACAGTTTTCTGATTATAACGATGAAGATGATGTTAATGAACTTTAATTTGTCAGAATTTGTCATCTTCGCAATATTTCATATATCAGTGAGTTGTATATGAGGGTAACATAGAGAAATTCATAAAAATTCAAAAACTATTCGTACCCGTACAATCAAGTTCACGTAATGAGATCAAAAGTAGTGGTGGTTACAGTTACAGCTCCAAATTTGGACACTGGTCTCCTCTCATTTCTGAAAGAGTTTTTAGGACGATGCAATGTGTGTTGCCAGACTTACCATATCTTCGGAACATTTTTCACAGATATGCATGTTTCTACACGATGATTTCTCTCACCAACGAGCAAGTAGTAAATAAGTAGTTGAAATTGCAATTGTAGTTTCAACCCCGCTGGCACCAATGAAATTGTTAGTGCCAGCGACTTTCAATCATCAATGTACCCGGGCTGCTTGCGTACTCTGAAATTTAAGGTGAGCGCTTAGCACCTAAGCTTCAACGTCTCTCAACCAGGATTGTATTCAATTTTCAAGAATATTTGGATTGCATTATGTATACGGAACTGGGCTTTTTATTATGAACTGAAAAGAAAAAGTAAAAACACTTCTAAACCAATTCTAAAATAGATTTCAGTCTTTTATGACTATTTATTTTTTCTTTTAGCTGACTTGAAAAAATATAAAAGGTTTGAAAATCGATTGTTGGTTTTTGTCTGTTAAGCTCTATCATCAATTCAATTTTGAATTTTTAGTATACATTTCAAGAGCGACAAAATAGGCAATGTAGTTTATATATAACTACTTAGGCGACATTCTTGTGGTTATTTGAGCATGTAGTATTCCATAATCTACACAAAAAAATTAAAAAATTTAGTTCTTTGACTAAATAATAAAAGCCTATTTTTATAGAATAGGGTGACAAACGAGCACACTGTCCACCTGATGGTAAGTGGTTGCTGTGGCCTATAGACATCTACATCTATCCTCGATTACGAATCAAAATGCAGATGCGTTGTCACCCATGAAGACTTAGATGAAATGCCTCATTTCCAGTAAAAAGGGGTCTCAAAGGACTTCAAAGGACTATAAAGAATAAATCATTTCACATTCCTAAATCTTAGCTTTAAACCAACTTTAAAGTGTCTTAGCGTCGACTTCACACTGTGAAATTATTTCATTATTCATAGTACTTTGAAGTCGGCTTTTAAAAGGAAAAGTTGAACATAGCATAAAGTTGCTACAGGTTTAATTTTTCATTTAAAATTGCCTATATATGAAGATAAAATTGAAGTGTCAGTCTGTAATGTTGATATATTGCATGCACCCTCGTACAGCACTTTAAACCTTAAAACTTATATTTCTTTACCGCCCGCTCGGGATTCGGGGGCTAAGGGTTTAAGACATAGATAACCATTTTAAAACTTTTATTTAACAGGTGAAGCCGGAGCGCGTCGCTAGTCGTTAATATATTGTATTTTGTTGTAGAGTTACCGCCGCAATGTGGTCGCGAAAGCAGTCCGTGTGCAGTGCAGTAAGCGGAGCCTCTAAAGGTGATGAACCTCTGTCGACTGGAGTTCAGACGTACCCCTTTGCAGTGGCCTTGAGGGTTAGAGTTTTGCAGGTAAAATAAATAAAAAATGTGAAACCCTATAATTCAAACAAGCAATTCTTGTATATTATGTACAATTGGTTTCTTGGAAACGAGTGTCACGAATTTGGATAAATTTTATTCATTTAGAAAATACGAGTATTTTACTCGGTCGCCCAGGTATTGTGTCATGAATCACTAGTGCGGCGGTATACAAAATTTTATAGTTGATGTAATTTTATAAAAGTTAGAAAATCGACTTATAATTGTAAGTTGTGAAACTATGTTTTAAAAAATCATTGAAATTTTTATGAATTTAAAATTGCGCGGTCGTGAAATAACGTAATGGAATAGTCAAGGCCTGTATTTATCAATTGCATTTATATGTGTTAAAAAACAGACACAGAATAAAATAAAAGAACGAAAGTCGTCATTTACGATCTAAATAATTTCGCTAATAAAGATTCGCTGACAGACGTTTTACAGATTTGCAACGTTGAGTAAACTTTAACAGGTGTTTTATGAATTATTTATATCAAGTTTAGAGATGCGGCATGCGATATAATAATATTTACAGATCCATTAATAAATTTTAAATCCTCACCCATTTCTGCATCAATAAAAATATCGTTATATCCCTGAAGACCCCAAGTCCTTTTAATCTAGTGAACTGGAAAGCATAGGGTTTTTGACATTACAATTTTAACATGGCGATTTCATCTCCTTAGATTTTCCGACGATACCATTGTGACACGATCGCAGTAAACCTCAGCAAAATGCTCAATAAACTCAATAGTGTCGACCAACGGTTAGTGCTTAAGATGAACATAGATAAAACAAAGGTCATGTGTTGGTATTGGGAGCACTACGCTCGAGTTTATTGACCACTATGTTTACCCAGGACAAATTTCCCGACTAGTTAAATCCAACTTCAACCAAAAAGTCAATCGACGAATATACCTTCGACTGGTCAGCGTTCGGGAGATTACTGCACATCTTCTCGTCACGTATACCTCAAAACTTTAAAACATATATATCGATACCTCCCACGAAGTTGTTGTATCCTCAAAACTGCAATTTTACAATAGAGCATTTTAAAGATTCAAATTGGACTAAAAACTGCATTTATGATTGTATTTTTGTGAAATTTGGTATATGAATGTAATTTATAGTATTCTTGACTACAGTTGAAAGATAAATTTAAAAAAAATGTATATTTTCTGAAATATTGTTCATACAACATTTTACTGCGGAGTACAGGCTGCGACATTTGTCGTATCTCATACTTACAATATTATACCGCGGAGTTTAAATTTCGTCAGTTGTTGTATATAATAGTTACAACAATATACATTGAAAAATATAAAGAAAAAAAAAAAAAATCTCATTCCACTGTATGTGGCAATAACAATTTACATCGGTTAAAATATTAGGTTTGTGTTAATATATGTAAACAAATACTAGGTTAAAAAATAAAAAGACATATTGTCAAGGATAAATTTCTTTATTTTTTAATAGGAACAACACTAATACTTACTATTATTATATTTTAGGAACATTTCTATAAACATTGCAATAAAAGTACTTACCTAATATTTATAAATTGGCATTAAAATCTTAGAGAACACCGATATAAAAATAAAATAATGAATATTAAAAAAAAACAGCTTATAATGTTATCAAACTTAGGTTATTTAGAAACAAAATAAAAAGGACATAAATGAAAACATAGCACACTCTTTCTATTATATTTTAATAACATAACAAACTCTTCTTAGGATTGTGAAAATAGAATCATAAAAAATCATCATAAAATAACAAAAATAATTATGACTTACTTAATAATTTCTATGAGATCAACTTAAAATCAAGATAACTAGAAATCAGGCAACCATTTATAGTTATTGGCATAGTAACTATCCTTGGCTTTAGAGGAATATTTTTTATTAGAAATTATACATAAGTAATTGAAAATAGTTGAGTTATTTTTAATTAAACAAACCAAATTTTTGGTTTTATTGGAGCTGTGAAAACTATTATTATTTTGAAAAAACAATGATAAAACGAAGATGAAATTTAAAGAAATTTAAATGATTTAAAAAAGAAAAGACTTTTATAAGTACTATTCTGAATCAGAAAATTCAACATTATGAGAGCCAGCAACAAAAGATAGACTCTTGAAAAAGTCATGATATGTGGCTGGAATAATTCCATTATGACAGAGACTCATTAAGTCATCATATTTTGCCTTTGTTAAGGGAAGATGGTTGGAATAGAGGGGGCATAGCTCAGCCATACTATTTCTCTGGCGTCTTCGGGTATTGGTATTAATGGCAATCGTCATAGCATTACTGTTTGCCAAATCGTACCGATATTCAATTTTAAAAGGATCTTCTGCACATACCCGCACTTCTTTTATTTTGTTCCATTTAACTACGTCTCCACTTATATTTTTTGACCAATTACGCCCGTCCAAAAGTTGTTTAAAGTTATAAAAATCGGTGTGCTTCATTTCTATGACGTTATATGATTTTCCATCCTGTTTAGCCCATCTAACCAAGCTAAACCATTCCAGAGGTGTATATATAAGTTTATTTTTAGATGATCTTTCTATTAAAGCGTTTACGCTGTCACCCTCTGCTTGGGTATGACCTTTTTCGAGAAAGGTACGTTTTATAGTAATGTTAAGTGTATGAGCAATATACACCTAAAACGCAAAAAGATTGCGATTACGGTTCTGACCGGCACAATTGTCAGACCAGAATCTGAATTCTTTTGCACCCGCATTAAAATGAGAAAGACAACTTGATACCTCATTAGAACCACGCTTAGCTTCTCCTTCGTGCCACATATAACAATGTCCCTCTTTATTTGCTAGATCAAACAAAGTAAAATTAAAAACCGACAACTTCCGCTTGTAATATAAAATACTCAATTGGCCATGAGGTGCATTAAGAATCTTTTGAAAATCAAAAGTAGCTGCGACGATTTTACCTTGTGAAGATTTGCTGTCATTTTTATCAGATTTCATGATTTGTCGGGATAACTTCTTGTTTGTGACATGATTTTCATGATCTGCGATTTGTTGTTCAGTAGGACCGTCAATATTTCTAAAAATGTGACATTGATCGCATTGATCTTTCTTAGGCACGTAAAAACTGAGCTTAAAATTTTCATTTACAATATCTCGATATTGACGTTCGGTTTCAGCTTTCTCTTCATATTGTGTGTTAGCCTGAAGCCACTCATAGTACATTTCAAATAATTTAAGAAAATTTAAATCTCCATCCAAATATAATTTGTTTGACCTTTGCCTCGTATAATGTGACTCAACCGGCTGCAAGCTCTTGATGTGATCACACACACTGGTTATAACCGAATCTGTTTTTTTTTACGGGATGGTTTGAATCTCTACCTCTTTTATCTGGGACTAGTACTCCCGTTGTTGTATCCATCTTTTCTAGAGCCTTATAAATAACCTGATCACTACAGACAAAGTGCTTAAAAAGTGTTTTTTGCACACAATCCACATAATTAATATTATCATTGTCATGATCTACTGGTATTAAGTATTTTAACGTGTACTTACGTCTTGAAACTGTATCTGTATAGACTCTACGTTTATTTTGCTTTTTTACTAAGTTAGCCACATACATCCATTGCTTTTCTCGATCGCCTAAGCTCCAAAAACTCTCAAAAATCTTCTTTCTTTGTTCTTCGCTTAATTTGTCAAAGCACTTCTTGCGGCAGCGACATGGTGGGCCCATCTTTCTGCTTGCTTGTATTTTACCTTTTCTCGAAATATATTCTTTTCCCAAATTACGTAAATACTTTCTTTTATTCTCTATCCATATACTCTATACATTCTATCCATTATTTATAATGTCTTTTTCTTACATTACCTTTATCTTTCCTTGTGAGGACGACGGCGGCGGTCACTTGTGGTAGGACTATTATTCAAAATATCCGACAGCGGACTATTGTTCATGGTTGTATACGTCGAGCAGCTAGAAATCCATGCTGGTGAGGGTTGAGGTATAATATCGAACGCTGATAAATTTTCTTTTTGTATATAATATGGGCAGAAATCATTATCACAGTCGTAGTCCAAGTGATTGATACTACAAGAAGGGGAAGGGTGCGGTGTCTCAAGATTTGCAGTATCAGAATCTGTTGCTACTTCTAAGTTGTCAAAGATGTTTCCATCTATTATGTTTGCCAACTCATTCATTTCAGATTCATTAAAACTTATTGGCAATGGTGACTCTGAAACAGTATTAACGTTTTAATTTGATTGCAACCCGCGTATGTCCTGATGCCTACATCGTTTAGGGAAGACATACACCTTTTACCTCTCCAACATATAAAATGCTTTACCCTGGCTGACTGGCTTAACGATCCACCAAAGCAGGTCGCACATAGTTGCCTGTGCGACCTGCGTTAGTGAAGCATTAAGTCAGTCAGTCAGGGCAAGGCATTTTATAATGTTGCAAGATCCAATTTTAGAAAAGACTTGACATACATCATCGAAAACGAAAAAGGAATAACAAAGTAAAATACAGCATGTCACCATACAACAAAGTTTTGAATAACAACTCCCGAAGTAAAATGTGGTATCTATTACATACAACAATATTTTTATTTAAATGTAAACGTAAAATGTTATATGTATTATTATATATTTATATACAACATTTTTTATGAACGCTCAACGACGTATACTGTTGTAAGTAACCTATACAACATTTTAGGTTGGTATCACGACAAAAAAAGTAACATTAACCTTATTAATGCTAATAAAATATTACAAAAAGAAACATATACCTGTGATATTTCGGAGACTTGAATCACGAAAGCTGTTTAGTTCTATTTCATCTAATGAAACATTGTTATTTTCAATGGGTGTCTCGGAGTTTCTATTTTGTGTACTCGTATTATTGACCATATCACATAGTCTACGTCCTCTTGTTATTATCCTTGTACGATTCATTGTTATATATTTGAAGTAATTCAATTACGTATAAAGTTATTTTTGAAAAAACTTAAACGGTTCCTACATCATGCGTGCGACCGGTTGAAAGTCCGGCGTGGTCTGTTGTATATGACCAATACGAGACGCGGGCGCGTGATTATCCCCGACCTGCACCCCGCGTAAGCTATTGTAAAGGTCTATACAATGCTGTAGTCCGTTCTCGTTTGAAAGTTACAACATTATACGTCTGATCCTTAAAAAATCGTATTTTGGTTTTTTTTCACTTTGAATGCATTAAATAATGCAAATTAGGATAGTTTTTTGTAAAAAAGCCAAACGCCATTTTTGTGGCATACAACAACTTACGTGGGAGGTATCGATATATATATAGTATATATAAATATGTAGATGTAGTCTTTCTCGAATGGCTGCACGAGGTGGTTTTAGGTCACTCATCGAGCTATGAAGAGGGTTATTCTCGCGTTTCTCTCTGCGATATACTTTGTATTAAGCATATCTGTAGTAAGACAAGAATAACGAACATACCAGAACGGATTAGTAAGCTGAAGTGACAATGGGTCGGCCTTATAAATCGAGAAAAAACTCGCTGTCAAATCGTTTATAAAATTATATCAGAGGGACATACGTTTAAATGCAGTGTAGCTGACACCAAACGAAAAAGGAACAATGTATCTCAGACTGAAAATTGTATATCTTCTCACCGTCACATCCAACTTAAACCAAAAAGTCAATCGATGAATATACCTTTGACAGCGGAAGGGAAACAAAGAGATGGACAGCACCGTCTTCTAATTAGCGTGGTCACTATGGTAAATATTCCGCTCATGAGGCGATCTATGGGAAGACCTATGATCAGCCGTGGACGTTAGATAGGTTGTAATGGATAAATATACATTCTAGACATGAAATAAAACGTATAATTGAAAAGTATTTGAATCTAAATATAATATTTTAAAGTTAACTCTACTTAGAATTTTCTAATATTATCAAGTTTTTTTTTATTGTACTTTTACCAATATATACAAACAAGTATCGAACATATTATGTTATATAGAAGCGTTTATAGATTTACAATTCTTTTAGCAAAAAGTATTTTTGAACTTCTATTGTAATTTTAGTTGCAAAAATATGTTCAGTTTTTTGAAGCTTATAAATATTTATAATGCGCAGGTAATAAAATTGCAGTATTTTGGAAGCATTACATTTGAATCGACGCCAACGTTAGGATATGGCGTTTATCAGAATAAAGACTACCGTTATTTAATAGATATGTTATCTATTGTCTAATCTCCATTTTATCCAAAATCAAATATAAGCTTATCACTAATGTTTGCGTAAAAGCCTAAAACCAGTTTTTTTATATTATTATTATATACAATGTGTCCGGTTTCCGATGTCCGATACTTTAAGGGGTTAAAATAAAATTAATTTTATCGAGAAATCAGGGATCAATGATTTTTTTTCGCCATCAATAAAAAAATGGCAGCACTTTAAAAAAAATTGTTGGCGAAGCATAGATGCTTGTATTAATTTAACAATATCTACCCAAGTAGAAGACTTTCAAAAACAAAATTGGTCTCAAATGTTAGTTAATAGTGTAGACAATAAATCTAGATTCAAAATATTATTTTTTAATTTTTCAGTATTAGTAAAAAACATTTTTGAAAAAATAAATTAGACAACAAATTGATGTTGTTTTTCAAATTCTTAGCTTTAAAAAAAACCATCGCGTTAACCAATTTTTTTTACTTGTTTGTATTATAATACAGGATATTTGCTATAAATGCACATTTAAATCTTAACTCTGAGTTAGATAGTTTAGGAGGTATGACAGTGTAAACATACTTACTTGAAAAGCGCGGATACACTAGCAAATGAAATAAAACAAAATAATTTATATCAATTGCATTTAATTTGGCAAAATAATTACAAAAACTGCTCAAAGTGACCTCCTTATCTCTGCAGACATGCTGTTGCTCTTATTGCAACGTGTTGCATAGAGCGCTGGATCATTGCCTTGTCTTCTCGCAATTCGTTTGCTGCTTGAATTATTTTTTCTGCTAACTCCTCTCGTGTATTTGGCACATTTACATACACTCTTCGTTTGAGTGTGCCCACAAAAAGAAATCGAGAGGTGTTAAATCCGGCGACCGCGGTGGCCAATCAATTGTTCCTCCGCGTCCGATCCACGACGAATAGTGTGCATTTAAATGATTCCGCACAAGAAGCGCGAAGTGTGCCGGAGCACCATCCAATTGCAGAATCATTCTGGCCCTGTAGGCCAATGGTAACTCCAATAAAGCATCCAAAAAATTCGTTTCCAGGAAATTTAGGAATCTTGGGCTATTCATTGTCTCCGGTAAAATGATTGGTCCAATTAGAATGTCGTCAATCATTCCGGCTCAAACGTTGACAGAAAATTTATGTTGAAAAGAACTTGGGCGCATCGCATGTGGATTTTCTTGAAACCACAGGTGTTCGTTACGGTAGTTCGTATACCCTGATCGCGTGAAAGTAGCTTCGTCTGTCCACATAATTCTTTTTAAAAAGTTTGGATCATATCGCGTTTCTCTCAATATCCACGAACAAAATATTGCTCTTCTTACATAATCCGGTTCCAGTATTTCTTGCACCCTTCGAAAATGGTAAGGATGTAATCCTTCTCTTTTTAAAATTTTCCACACTGGCCATTTTGATAGACTGAGACGATTAGCTATGCGTCTAATGCTCAGGCTAGGGTCTTGAGTAATCATTTGCAATATTTGATGTTCATCTTGGAGCGACAAAACACGAGTACGTTCGTTACCGAGCCTTCTTATTCCATTTTCCGCAAGTCTCAAATGAATTCTCACGAAAGTGCGAGCATTCGGCGTACGTCTGTTAGGAAATCTGCGTGCATACTCTACAACAGCTCTATTTGCACTCCATACACGAAATGGATGTCAGCGATATGCTGGCTTGAGTACTCGTTCATTGTAATAAACAAAAAGTAACAGTTCAACAACAAAACAAAAACGTAACAAAGTCTAACAACAAACAATAATTATGTACAGTAAGTAGATTTACTTAAAACCAGGAATGTTATCACAACGCAGAGCAAGGGACGACTGCTCGACGGCACAAGCGCATACTGCACCCTTTTTTTACCTGGAGACAGCCGTTATTCTGTCTCGCTCGCACTGTTGTGCACAGCGTTTTTTACCTGCTCACACAAAGGATGCTATTGTGCTTGCTTACGATTCCTTGAATTATTGAAGAATTTTATCTTACTCACTGGAATGGGTGTTTAGTTATCTAATATCGGGGTAGAGGCACTTTGAACAGTTACATTCAAATTATCATAGCTCCTAAGCTATCTACTTCAGAGTTAAGATTTAAATGTGCATTTATAGCAAATATCCTTTATTATAATAAAAACAAGTAAAAAAATTGGTTAACACGATGGTTTTTTTAAAGCTAAGAATCTGAAAAACAACATCAATTTGTTGTCTAATTTATTTTTTTCAAAAATGTTTTTTACTAATACTGATAAATTAAAAAATAATATTTTGAATCTAGATTTATTGTCTACACTATTAACTAACATTTGAGACCAATTTTGTTTTTGAAAGTCTTCTACTTGGGTAGATATTGTTAAATTAATACAAGCATCTATGCTTCGCCAACAATTTTTTTAAAGTGCTGCCATTTTTTTATTGATGGCGAAAAAAATCATTGATCCCTGATTTGTCGATAAAATTAATTGTATTTTAACCCCTTAAAATATCGAACATCGGAAACCGGACACCCTGTATATATATATATATATATATATATATATATATATATATATATATATACATATATTTTAAACTATTACAATATTTTCCTGATTATTTTTGCAAGCGATTGTTTCTTTAATTTTGTACGGTGGATCATGTTGTTGTCTATGTGTGTGTGTTCACTTTTCTTAAGGGCGGGATTCCGGGAGGGATTTTGCAATTTTTGCTACGCTTGATAGGCCGATTGGCAACCACTGTTCTTTTTTGAATCAGCTGTTATCGGGAAGATGCTGTTGCCCATCTCCTGTTTTATTTTCCCTCTGTCTCCTCTTACGACACCCATGGGACGATATAGGTTGTTGGAAATTCTTACACCTCCACTACACGGCTTTAAAATCTTAAAGGTTCTGAAATAGAAGTTAAATACTCAGTTCAGTAACAGAGTACAAAAGCTAGTTCTGGTAACCGGTTATTTTAAGGCCGAGTAACATGGTAAATTGCTCGGTTTGATGTTAAACTTACCTTAAGTCAAGTTCAACCGTAATTATACATAGTTCCTTGTCCGGCATATTCTTTACAACTTGTAGTAAGCAGCATTCATGCCAGTGCCAATGGCACACTCACTTTAGGCCTTATTTTTTTTAAAATTACAGCACCGCATAATATAGTGACGCTGTAAGAAAATCCAGAAGCACAACTTAAAAAAAATCTGCGGTACTAATAGTAGTAATAATGAGGTAGGAACTTTTATAAATGCTGTATTTTTATTTTTAAGTTCTAGCTATTGGTTTTAGATTGTCTGTGGAATTGGCGGGCTAGTAGTGGGCGCAGTTGGTTGGCTGGAAGAAAAACAAAAGCCAGCACTTGGATTGGGCGTGCCAGCGGGAGCAATAACTGTCATTGCCGCAAGTAACAATTAGTTGTCTTATTTTTAATTTATGTTTGTTTTTTATTTACATATGCCTCAGATGAAGTAAAAAAGTAGATATAGCATCTAGAATAGGAAACTGTAACCAATTTTATAACTTTGTGTCAGTCAGAGAAGTGTTGCCACTTTTTTTTAAAAGTCCCTGAAAATCGAGATAAAATACTACAAATAGTATTATTACTCTTATATAGGAGTAACAATGCGATGCGAATGCGAAAGTATATCTGTCTATTTTAATAAATTTTAACAATTTGACAATTCGAAAAAGATGATGAACGTAGGAGGCGTCTGTAGATAATTTAAGTCTTCTTGATAGATTGTCCAATGAAACAAAACATGTTTATTATAAAAAATAACTTAATAAAATAATCGTGGAAAACCAGTTGGAATAAAAAATAATTATCTTGTAATTAAAAATATAATTTTCTAGATGAAAAAAGTATATTTTAGTAAATACTACAAGAAACAAGAAAAAACTCCAGCCCGGGGCACAAAAGAGTGTTCTAATTTGTATCCCGTGTAGGACAGTTATGAAGTATCAGCTGGAGAGGACACCTGAATCTCTAATCTAAACCTAAACCATGCTCTCGCAGAATACCAACGTAGGAAACCGGGACCATATTTACTGAAAACGAGGCATTACATCTTAGCCTTCTGGAGTGACAACTACTAGTATCTTGATTCTTAATCAGAGATAGGTGAACTATGTGCTCGTTTTTCACCGTTATTAAAAAAACATCAGATGGAATAGTAACCCAGCATTGGCTTAGAATTCCGTAGTAATGTTAATATAATTTTCATGTACATGCACATTATAAATGCATTGAAATGTAAATCCAAATCGCTAGTTGTACTACTTAAGAACAATAGCAATTCAAACGAATTAAGGACGTTTTTTACTACTTTCTTCAATATCCATTGCATATTAAAATAATTTATTACAACTATACTCTTACAATGTCTATTTCAGGGAATTAGTTTGAAAGAGATGTGAAGGTAAATCAAAAACTACAACGAAATGCTTTTAAGAAAGCACTTTTACTACTTTTACAACTAACTTAGCAGTAGCAGTCTGTTATTTATTGAGTGATAGTATTTTAAGGCTCTAATATAATATGAAGAGTAGGGTATTCTACATTATGTATATTTATGACAATGACGCCATTTTCATTATCACCAGTACAGCGTCTTTGATTAATATGGAGATACAATAATCACGACAGTCGTTAGACATAATGGCAATTCCATTTTCTGGTAATAAGATGAAAATAATCGAGAAAATGAAAAAGAAATGATCTTATTCGTAATAGATAGGTAGTAATTTATATTACTTCGAGTACACGTTACTGTACACTTCACGTTAAGTCATTTTGTGTATATACTTTCGCTGGACATTTCTGTTCCCACTCATTTCTAAATGGTTTATTTAGGAAAACTTCACCGAATTACTTAGACTTAAAATCATCATTATCTTTCAACTTAAAAATAAAATAATTTTAATATTTTGTAATACAACCCTTGACGGAACTTCATTTCGTGATGGGGTAATTTAAATTATTCGTATTAATGATAAATCACTTCCTAAGCTAAAATTTGGAATGACCTTATTTGCCTGTCAGTATATCAGAGCAAGTCTTACCCGATACTATTCCGTTGATATCCCGGACGTCAGTCTGAGCGAGATTAGAATAGCTCTCCAGCACCTTAAAAACGGCAGGGCCCCAGGCGAGGATGGAATTACAGCGGAGCTTCTGAAAGCGGGTGAAACACCGGTACTTGGAGTTCTTCAGAAGCTCTTCAATTCCTCTCCATGGTGGCACTACTCCGGAGGCGTGGAGCAAAAGTGCGGTGGTCTTGTTCTTTAGAAAGGCGACATTGCTCTCTTGAAGAACTACAGACCGATTTCCCTTCTGAGCCGCGTCTACGTGCTGTCTTCGAGAGTCATTACGAATCGTCTCGCACGCAGACTCGACGACTTCCAGCCTCCCGAACAAGCCGGTTTCCGAAAAGGCTTCAGTACCATAGACCACATACATACACTGCGGCAGATTGTACAGAAGACCGAAGAGTACAATCTGCCACTTTGCCTGGCGTATGTGGACTATGAGAAAGCCTTTGATTCCGTCGAAATTTGGCGGTGCTACAGTCCCTTCAGCGATGCCAAGTTAACTGCCGGTATATCGAAGTGCTGAAGTGTTTGTACAGTAGGGCTATCCGAGTACAGAACCAGTATCCAACTGCAGAGAGGTGTAAGACAGGGTGACGTTATATCCCCGAAACTCTTCATCGCTGCGTTGGAAGACGTTTTCAAGCTACTGTACTGGAAAGAATACGGTATTAACATCAATGGCGAGTACATCACTCACCTTCGATTTACCGACGATATAGTCCTTATGGCAGAATCGCTGGAGGACCTTAGCACTATGCTCAAAGACCTCAATGGTGTCTCCCAACGGATAAGTCTTAAGATGAACATGGACAAAACAACGATCATGTTTAACGTCCATGTGACACCTATGCCGGTAGTTGTTGGGAGCACTATGCTCGAAGTTGTTGACGAGTACGTTTACCTGGGATAGCCGAAACAAACCAGAAGGATTCAACTCGGCTGGGCAGCGTTCGGGAATTTACGACACATCTTCTCGTCAGGTATACCTCAATCTCTGAAAACTAAAGTGTACAACCAGTCCGTGTTGCCAGTGATGACTTACGGATCTGAGACGTGGTCCTTCACTGCTGGCCGTATGAGGACGCTCAAGGTCGCTCAGCGAGCTATGGAGAGGGCTATGCTCGGAGTTTCTCTGCGTGATAGACTCAGAAATGAGGATATCCGCAGTAAAACCAGAGTGACCGACATAGCCCAACGGATTAGTAAGCTGAAGTGGCAATGGGCCGGCCATATAGCTCGAAGAACCGATAACCGATGGGGAAGAAAGGTTCTCGAGTGGCAGCCTCGTACCGGTAGGCGTAGTGTAGGGCGACCCCCCACTAGATGGAGTGACGACCTGGTAAGACATGCAGGAAGTCGATGGATGCAGGTGGCTCAGGACCGTGCTTTGTGGCATTACTTGGGGAGGCCTATGTTCAGCAGTGGACTTGTGAAGGGCTGTAATGATGATGATGATGATATCAGATTTGATAATAATACGTTCGCTTCCTAAATTTATTACAATGTAATTATATGTATTGTACTCGACCACAGCACCACCCATTGCATCCAGATTTTGTGTTTTTGTTTTTAGTCACCAAACCAACATATATTTTTGTTTAGTTTATTATTTTTTAATCTTTCTGGTCCATCAGTATATGATTTATTACTAATTTATGTATTATTTAACGTAAATGTAAACAGTTGTTTCGACAAAACAACAATATTGTGGGAATGGTGAACTCAGACGCACCAACGATTATATACCTATATTAACAATAACTATATTTTGTTCCTCTTAGCGACATCAGTTTACTTCAGTCGAGGATTTGGAGGTTGGAACTCGGCGCGATCAGGAACTACCAGAAATTGGGGAACCCCCTGGAGAGTTTTGGGCCCAGCGCCATGTGCTGCAGTTCCTTTAACAACTTTATGGACTGTCGCAGTTGGGGCACATATAGCGATGCTCGCATTCTGTATACGATCGCTAATGAATATAGGGTAAGTTTCAAAGATTTGTGATCTAACCTTAATCGATTTGCGAGATCTTCAACATTTTTTTCAAATTTGATTATGGAAAATGTTCAATTGAAAGCCATGGTGCGTAGACTGGTTGGTGAGTAAAAAGCCGTTACAGCACTTGTATATCATGCATTTCATTGGGTTCACTATTTAATAAAGGATATTGATTACTTAGCACATATTTCCGAATGTAGATGAAGTGGAAAAAAAAATAAGTATGATAGATATTATGGTAGATACTTTTTAACATGAATAAGTCGGCTCGACCGGAGCTTATAAAATACAAGCGTAAAGTAGCAGCCTAATGCCGCTGTATTTCGTATGGTGTGCATAAAGAACCGGATACTCTTTTTACTAGTAATAAGGTATTTCATCTTAGTCCTCATAGGTGACATCAAATTTGTATATTAATTAAATTCCTGTGCATTGAATAGGCGACCACAGACCACAGCATTCACCTACTACTGGGTATGATCGTTTGTCACGCATACTTCAATTAAAAAATATATATTGATAGATTATATCGACCCGCTTTTGTCGACCAAATTGGCGATGTATTAAAAATGGGCCAAATTAAGAGTACCTGGTGGAGCGACGAGCCTAAGGCTACCGAAGTCCAATTCCCCGGTCGAGCCTTAAAACCTATTACGCGAGATATTAACCAAAGTGGACTGTATATGCGAAATGCTTCTACGCTTACACAAAATGGCGACTATAGCACGCGGTTTCCGCGGTTACAATGCACTCGCTCTTCCCTAAAACGAACTTATTTGCCAAATCTATGAAAGGAATCCTGCTTGGTTAGGAGAAAATAAAATTGGAGCGGATTAACTATTAAACACAATTATATCAAGCAGGAACTATTAGGAATGTTCACTCACCGGGGTGTTGCTTCTATGCGGCTTGGGCACTATATTGTTGCGACTTCTGGAAGACACTCTGGGTAGACTCTCTGGGGCCCCAGCCTGTCTTGTCCGGTGATACGTTGGGAGAGAGTGCGGTGCGCGACTATTTCTCACACGAGGTGACGGTTTCCGAGCTCGACTGCTTCAGGCTAACGGTTATACTAGCGGTGCCGTGGGCAATAGCCCTTTTATTACACAATTGTCTTAAGCGGTGTGGTTCCAACGACGAGCGCGGCGGGAAGAGGGCGCGCGTCGGCCGCGCGTGCCTTTTTATTCCTTCGGTTGCGATGATTGCGTAATATTCTAGAATCATCTTCTTTCCCCTCCCACCCCACCACCCCGATGTGTCGATAGGAGGATATGAATGATATCGTTTGGAAAGGGATAAACGATTTGGCAAGCCTACCGTCAAATAAATAAATACGAATGGTTTTCCGCGCAACCACCTCCCCCGCCCTTGAAGGATTTCCTTCAAAAAATAACTAAAACAACTAGAGCTAATATCAAACTAACAAAATAACTAACTAACGCTAAGATTACCTAAATTCAACTACAATTTCTAATCTAGAAAGCTAATTTAAATTATGGAAGAGGCAAGGGGCACAAACGGACAACAGGACGCATGTAAGACCCAACCGTGGTCTTAACGCGAGCTACCCTAATTACTCCGTCGGAACCGGGAAAGACCTCTTCGACAATTCCTAACGGCCAATGGAGAGGCGGCGTATTCTCTTTGGGGAGCACAACTACAGTTCCTACAGCTAAAGGCTCAGTTGCTGTGTTCCATTTTTGTCGAGACTGCAAAGTATGCAAGTATTCCATCCTCCATCGTTTCCAAAACGATTGCACTAACCGGTCTAATAATTTGTGGCGTGCGGAAATGCTAAGTCTGTTCTCATCCATATCTACGGCGGGCAAATACTTTAAAGGCGTTAAATTCAAAAAATGTGCTGGAGTTAGAGCCGGTGGCTCCGAAGGGTCACTAGACAACGTACGATAAAGTGGGCGGCTATTCATTGCGCATTCAATTTGAGCGAGCACCGTACTTAGCTCTTCGAAGGACAATATTTGATCTCCTATAACTCGGTATAAGTGACTCTGTAGACTCTTAATATTAGTCTCCCAATTGCCCCCAAAATGACTCGCGGCTGGGACGTTCTGGACGTTCTGACGGCTGGGACCACTCAATGCGGTTCTCGGCTAGAATGTGAGCGAACTCCGAATTATAATACTTGCTAGCTAAGAGCTCATGTAGTTCTGATAAAATACGTTTTGCACCGACGTAGTTCGTACCGTTATCCGAATATAATTTACTTACAGGGCCACGGCGGGAAAGAAATCTTTTAAATGCACCCATAAAGCCTGCTGTGCTTAGATCACCAACGAGTTCTATATGCACCGCTCTTGTAGTTAGACATACGAAAATGCAGACGTAAGCCTTTGTGGATCTTATACCACGCCCGCGAGTGAGCGCGACCTTAAACGGACCAGCGAAATCAGACCCGGTGTGCGTAAAGGGCGTTACTGATTGTATTACTCGACAAGATCTAAGTTCCGCCATTTCCGGAAATGACGGCTTGGGGCGTGCCCGAAAGCAAGCTATACATCTGTGCACTCGATTGCGGATTAAACTACGTGCAGAAAGAATCCAATAATTCTGACGCAAGATCGACATCAGCAAGTCGGGACCAGCGTGCGAAATCAATTTATGATGGTAATCGACTAATAAATTCATGATATGGTCTTTACGCGGTAAAACTATAGGGTGCCGTTGGTCGAAACTCAACTGCGAGTTGGACAAGCGTCCACCTACCCTTACAATCCCATCCTGTAAAAATGGCTTAAGGCGTTGAAAGGCGCGACTACAAGCTCTATTCGATTGTAATCTTGTAATTTCTTCCGAGAAATGCGCACGTTGAAGTTCACGCAATACTAGCGACTCGGCATAGTTGTAATCGGACGCTAAGACATACGAACGTCGCGGTAAAAGCTTCGCGAATCGACAAACGTAAATTACGCTACGCAATAATTTCGACCAAGAGGACAAGCGGTTCGCCAAAGAATTGATTGGAGAAACCTCGCTCGAAACGTTCGCCACTAGAGCGTGTATCTTCTCTTCCGGCGGTTGTGACACTGACGAAGGTTCGAAATCGGTTATTGGCCATTGCGAGGGATCCAAGTGAACCCAAAAAGGTCCGTGGAACCAAAGCGGGTGGTCCATTATTTGCATCGGGGTGAGTCCACGGGATAGACAATCGGCAGGGTTTTCCGTACCGGACACGTGATAAAAGTTCTGCGTTTCTAACTCGTCTTGGATCTTGGTCACTCGGTTCGCGACAAACGTATCCCAACGGTGGGGTGAAGAATGAACCCAGCATAAGGCGACGGTGGAGTCGGAAAAGGCAAATATCCTTTCTATGTGAACTCTATCCCTACATGCGCTGATAACTGCGGTAATAAGCTTGGTGAGTACTAATATTGCGCAAAGCTCTAAGCGCGCCAGAGAGACAACCTTACGGGGGGATACTCTCAACTTAGAACTAATGAGGCTAATCGAATTTCTACCATTATTCTAAACGTGGAAATATACAACGCCCCCGTAAGCCTTCTCGCTGGCGTCTGCAAACCCAACGACCGTGATGACGCTATTTCTATCGACGTTTATATGACGCGGTATTTTAATTTCTCTTAGTAAAGGAAGTTCCTCTCTAAAACGCTGCCACAACCGAACAATGCTGTCAGGCGGCGAGTCATCCCAATCGCATTCAAATAACCAAAGTTGTTTAATCAAAAGTTTAGCGTATAATACCACCGGAGCTACGAAACCCATGACATCCCATAATCTAGCAACGCATGACAGTATTGTGCGCTTTGTGCACTTCTCTACGGGCGGATTTACCTTAAGGCTAAACACGTCGGACTCTGGTGACCAACACAGACCGAGCACCTTGTGTGTATCAGAATCGTCGAATTCCTTTATCGCCGAAAGACGGTGTGATAGTGGGATTGTGTCTAAAACCGGACGCGAATTACTAGTCCACTTGACAAGATCGAATTGACCTGATTTCATGAGCTTTATAACCTCGGCGGTGGTTAGGGTGGCCTCCTCCACGCTATCGACCGAGTATACAAAATCATCCATATATAAACCGCTCTCAATTGCCCTCTTAGCTTTAGGGTAAGGGGGACCTTCATCGTGAGCGAGCTGTCTCACCGTGCGTAACGCATGAAATGGGCTCGACTTTAAACCAAAACAAACGCGGTTAAATTCAAACACCATTAGAGGTTCCTTTGGGTTGAAACGATATAAAATGCGTTGGAATCTACGGTCGCATTCACGGACCCCTATGCAAAGAAACATTTGGCGAATATCGGCGGATAGTGCTATACTAAACAAACGAAAATTGGCTATTATATTAAATAAACTGCCCTGTAAACTTTGCCCACTATAGAGGATATCGTTAAGCGACAGGTGAGTGCTAGTTTTAGCACTAGCGTCGAGCACTACACGTAACTTAGATGTAAGTTTGTCCTCCCTAATGACCCCGTGGTGTGGTATGAAATACGAAGGTGTGTCTTCGTAGTTATCTAATTTCGAGGCCACAAGTGATATGTAACCTTCCCTTATATATTCGTTAATGACGCCGTCATAGGCTTCTTTTAACTGGGGTGAAGCGAGCATCCTACGCTCCAAGCAGTAGAAACGTTTTTCCGCCATTTGACGCGAATCGCCGAGAGATAAAACATCTCCTTTAAAGGGTAGCGCTACACTATATCACCGTCGCGATCACGAACGGTCGTGCGGACGTAAATTTCCTCGCATAATCTGTCATCTGAGCTAGCTATGGGTGGGACGTTCACCTCCGCCATCTGCCAAAATTTGCGGACTAACGACTCGAGCGGTTCGACAGCCATACCACAATAAGAGGTTGCCGAAATACTATCCATGATGGGGGCGGAGCCAACGATGACATAGCCCAAGACGGTTTCCAATGCGTAAGGCGCGGTATGCGAGGAGTTGCCCCTGGCCTTATTGTTTAACAAAAGATGAGGGAAAAGCGATGCTCCAATGAG